GTAAATAAGGAAGGGTGGAGGGGGTGAAGGGGGGGCTAGGAATGGGGAAAAAATAAGAACCAAGATGCATCATGTAAAGGTACAAGTTCCCAATGAGAAATGTAAATGTGTCGTATACCTAAAATGTACCAATAAAAGAATTTGAGAAAAAAAAAAGAAATAATGCCAGGATATAGATAGCTTGGTTAGTATCAAATGCTGTACAGTAGCTTTGAAAGTGACATTAAAAACTGTCTGAGTTTGGCTATCAAATACTGAGCTGAGTACTAGATATTTAGCATCACTAGGAAGGCTGAGGAAGGCTGGCTCCCTGCCTGGTGTCTGAACAATGGAAAAACTGAGGAAGTTGATTGTGCACAGGTGTCCTGCTGGAGAGGGAAGGAGAGCCCCTGACTCATCTGGCTTGTTATGATGCCACTGGAAGAGATCTGGGGGACATTCAGTAACCACTTCTATTTGCTCTCCAATTTGCATTTTTTGACTATTGACATCTCCTTACAATGGGGATGGATAAGGGAGATAGATGATATCCAGTAAAACAACTATCTAGGACTCCAGAGAGCTTCTATAACCATTGCTTCTTCCCAGAAGAAGTTCTCTAATAGGTTGACTATCCTGGGCCATGCAATTCATCACAAAAGCAATGTAAGGAACTCACAGTGGGTAAAACCCACTAACAAGGATTCTCCCTTCTTTGGGAGCAACCTAAAATGTGATCATTTAACCCTAACCCTACCCTTAGCAGACTGATCCATTTGTAGACCCCTGAGTAAATACGGACCACTTGCATTTTCTTCCAACTGATGATTTATATTATGGGTGGTCAGAAGACCCCAAGCTGGGAAATTCAAGAACCAAGCTGCCCAGTGACAGGTTTGGAGACAAGGCCCACATTCTATATTGGAGTGTTTCCAAACTTGCTCCAGTTTCTTGCCTTTTCCTAGACTTGGTTGTTTTACAATTCTTTGAGTTCATAAAATTCCCTAGCTGGGCTGGGGATTTAGCTCAGTGGTTCCACCACCTGCCTTACAAGCACAAGGACCTGAGTTCGATCCCTGGTACCAAAAAAAACAAAAATAAAAAAATGAATAAAATAAAATTCCCTAGTTTCCCACCAAAAAATTCTCCTTTTGCCGAAGCCAAGCAGAACTGGTTTCTTCTGTTTGAGGAAAATAAAAATCTTTTAATTAATGTGCATGCAATAACTGTTTCAAACTATTCTGTATTATATTCATACATAAAATATTCTGAAGCAAAAGTTGGTTCCTTTCATATGGTTCTAAAATAAACTTTTTAATCAAAGTTTTTTATAATTAGTATAAAACCATGTACATAATTAGTATAACTACGATGTTCTACAATTTCCATTAATGTAAATGGCATGTCAGTAAAGAGAAGAATGGCTAGGGGAAACATTGGCATGAGCTCAAAGACTCCTCCTTGGAAAGATTTTTCTGTTTACAATAAAAGTGAGAGCAATCAGAAGAATTTAGAATAGAGCCAGGGACAAGATTTTGGGCTGGGAAAGCCCAGGTTCCAATCCAGGTATCTCTCATGGCCCTTGACCTTCAGGAGGCAGAGCTGGGCAGGGCTGTGTCACCACTTCTCAGCTATGGGATCTTAGACACATTATTTACTGTTTCTAAATTCTAGTCTGCTTGCCATCTGGCTGAAACATACTTTGTGTGTGCCCAGCACTGTCACCTCATGGTTTCGGACAGGTTCTTAGTGACACTGCTCATGTTTATCTCTATAAGAACCATGAGCAAGCTACTTAAACTCTCTGAATATCAGCATCTTCCTCATTCTTACAAAGGGAGTAATAACAACTGCCTCACAGGGGTTTTTTTTTAAAGAATTAAATAAGATGGAAAACGTAAATCGCTTAGAAAAGTAACTACTGATAAGTGCCCAAAAGACATTAGCAGCTACTGTTATTCTATTAAGTTCTACACCACTCCAAATGAGAAAGTTAACTAGAGAGAAAGAGGGATAGGCAAGGTATTCTAGAAACAAAATTTGGAGAAAAGAATTTGAAAAATGATTTATTTTTGTGAAAGAGCTGTTATTATCCTCTAGAACTAATTAGAGAAGTGATCAAATACTTAGCTCTTTGCCTCCAATACATCATAAGTAGGGTTATTAGATAGATCCACAGGAGAAGAGTTGTAAGCGGTTTTCTGAAAAACTATATACCAAGCTAAGGGCATTTTTGACACTTGAACCACCAAAGAAAGTTAAGTATTCTCCTTGCATTGGAGTAGGGAGACCAAGATGAGGTTAAAGTGGTAATTAATAGTCCAGAAGGAGCAGATAAAAAGGAACTTAATTTGAAGACAGATATTTTATTTCTTTTAATACTGTTTCATATTATTTCCCCTTATTTTATCTCATAATTAAAAATTGAAGTTATGTTGACAGAATTAAGTTTGTACAGGAAATATTTTAGGAGTCCAAATCAAATGATACATTTCTATTTCATTCCAATATTTCACATACTAGATAATTCCAATTCTTTCAATTAAGCTGCACCATTCACATGCAGAAAGAAGATATTCTAGATATTCACATATTTTGACAGTTATTTCATTTCAAACACTATCTCACCTCATTAGTTCATTTACTACAAATAACGTATGTGGCAGGTCTTGATAGCTCCATTTCATGGGCAGCAGAGACACAAGGACTTGCTTAAATTTGCCCTAGTAAGGAAGTAATAAAAAGAGTTAGCATTTCAACCCAAATGTGATGGTGCATACCTGTAATCCCAGCACTCTGGGAGGCTGAGGCCAAAGGATCCCCAGTTTGAACCCAGCCTCAGCAATTTAGAGTGAGACCTCATCTCAAAATTTTTAAAAATATTTTTAATTTATAAAAAAACAACACTTTATTGAGAACTTTCCATGTGCTAAGCATTTTTACAAACATTAATCTCATTTAATTTTTATAACAATCTATTATTTTTATTATTTTCATGTTTTTTAACAGAAAGAAAAACTAAGAGGTTCAATAATATAGCAACTTAATGCTCTATTAAAAGTGAGGGTAGGCTATGGATTCGAATTTGGCTCTTGTGTGACTTTAACATCAGTGCTACAGCAGAGCAAGTTCAGGGCCCAGGTCTTTTGCAGGGACCCTTCTTTCTGACTTCTCTGTGCCTTTCAGGTCCCAGCAGGAACAATCTGCCTGTGTACTCTTGGTAATAAAAATGCTGTTCCAAAAGGCTGGTAAGCAAAGCTGTTTGCAAAACAAAAACATTTGCAAAGCATTTTGTGAATAGCTCATTCTACTGCTCAGAGGACCTAGGTGAGGGCAGGTGGAGCCTGGGAAAGGATTATGCAAAGTCAAGGGTACTTAGCAAGAAGCCCCAGCTTCCACAGCCGTGGATTTCTTTCACAGGACCCAGTGGGGTTTGCACACCATCTGCACTCCATTTCCCTCTCCTGTCCAGCAGCTGCCGCACCAGCCAATCAGAGACCACACGTAGACCTGGACCCCAAGGGAACCTACTGAGACCTGTGTTTTCAGTTAGCAAAGATCTTCATGGAGGAATGGGAGGCATGAGGTTCACTATACTGCAAGGGTAAGACTATAACAGCGATGACACTAATGATGTCAGTTTCAAAGCACAGGCTCAAGCAGGGCACTTAAGATGTGTCCCACTTGGGACTCCCTGTGCCTCCATTTCTCTGCCTCTTCCTCTTGCTCATTTTTATGTTTCTTTATTGTCTCTAGGTCAAAACTAGTTTTATATGGCTTTCAACAAATGAAATATGTTTCATCATCCTACTGGTATGCGCATTTAAGTAGGAAATTGGACACTAGGGAGAGAAAAGCAAGCACTTTTACCTAGATGGCTGGTGTGGGTGCTGTAAGTTGGCACCAGCGTGGGTCTTGGTCCCCTGAGAGCCGCAGCAGATGCTAATCTGCCTGTAACTCTGATTGCCTGGTGCTGGCAAGGGACACACATGAGAGCTGGCTGTAGGGACAGGAGTTGGCTCCACAGAGAGGCTGCCCTATTGGAGACCTCATCCTACAAGGTCCTGAATGTCAAGTCCATGACAATAGTTGCAACACATAGGGATGGAAAGTCCCTCTTTTTTAAAAAAAAAAAAATTCTTACCTGTCTGGCAGAGAGGTCCTTTGGCCCAAAGACAAGGAGTCAAATGCCACCTGCAGCTGAGGCTTCCAGCAGTGACTCTGATAGGGTCCTCAGAATGAGGACATCCTGCTGCCAAAGCTAAACACAACTTTTCAGCTCTTCCTTCATCCCTTATGCAAAGAGCCATAAGCGAGCCCGTATACCTGAAAATAGGAATGACAAGGAGACAGTGACTTTCTGGACTGGGCACTGTGCAGGCTTGCAGAGCCCTGGGATCCAGAATTGGGATTTCTATAGATGCCAAAAAGCCAGCACTTGCAAATGCAGCCTGCCCAGACACAGAGGCAGTGCATCACAGTGCGGAGGGATGCTGACAGGTTAATAGCAGAGTTTTCCCTGGCACGCCACTCCAACACACCACCCACTCACTCCCATCCCCTCCTCCAGGGCCTCTTGCTAATGAGAACAGACTTATAAGACTGCTCCTGGGAGAAAGCTGCTCAGCTTTTAACCTGGCTTCCCCACCTCCACCCCTTTACCTTGGTTCTCTCCATGGGGCCTCCAGGGCTGGGAGCCAGGGTTACACTCACTGAATAAACAGTAGAGCCAGCATGTGCAGAGTCCCTGGGATGTACAGATGATCAAGGTCCAGCCGTAGAGAAACTCTCCACTAGTGGGAGTCAGACACATGAGTCAATCACCATCACAGCCAGATACAGTACCGCACACCTGTAATCCCACCTACTCAGGAAGCTGAAACAGGAGGATCAAAAGTTCAAGGCCAGCAAGGGCAACTTAGCAAGACTGTCTCAAAACATCGTTTTAAAGGGTTGGGGATGTAGCTCAGGGGTAGAGTGCTCCACGGTTTTATCCCAAATATTGCAAAAGGAGAAAAAGAAATAACCATCATACAAAGCAACCAGTGACTTGCCTGTCCCTAGCAGGTCAGATAGTCCTGTGAAGGAGGTCTGTAGAGTCAGGCTCCATGCAGGAGCTTCCTGACATGGCACCAAGAGAGAGACTCTGTTCATCCCTTCCCTCGGCCCAACTCAAATGTGAGCAGTCTGTCCAGAAACAAACTGGGAAAGCCAATGTCTCTCATCTGTTTCCCAAGCAGTTTTTCAGGTTGATCCTAAAGGTAAATTTATGCATCAGAAAGAGACATGGTATAAATCATTTCCGTCTATTTGAACTAATTTAGATGGATGAGCCTCTATTGGCACTGAAAAATAGTGGGCCTGCATGAAACAATGAGGTCAAAGCTGACTAGTGTCTGCAAGGTTCTCCCCATTTCTCAGGAAGGAGACCCAGGCTCAGGGCTGGACCATCCCTGCTTGCCCCTGTGCCACATCCCTAGATCCCAGTCCCAGAGATCCTCCCTTAGTCATCTCCCCCACTCCAGCCCAAAACTTCCAGCTCAGAGTTGAGCACACAGCAATTGCTCTGAAGGGGAGGCTGCAGCTTTTCCTGGCATAGAGAGAAAGGGATGATGGATGTGTTGTGTGTATATGTGCCTGAGAGAAGTTGGGGAGGCCCTTGGAGCCCTCCCCGGGGGCAGAGGTGGCAGGCAGAAAGGAGTGTCTAGCAAGGCAGGCAATCTCAGCATTAACAGACAGGCCACCTGCCAGCTGGCGGGCAGCGCCTCCTCCCCCAGCTCCGAACCAGATCACCCCAGCCTACCTCCCCCTCTCTCTGCCTCAGCTACTCGGATGCTCCATATAGATGTGACAGCTGATCACTCACCTGCCACAGCCCTCTTCCAAATTAGGTCCATTTGCTTTTCCATTATCAACTTCACAAAACTGCTTGACAGGAACAAGCTAGAAAAGACCCCCCTCTTGAAAAGGGGCTTTATCTAACTGTATTGTCACAGCCAACCTGGGAGGTAGTGAACACCTTCCCCCAGAACGCCTGAGAGCCCATGGGAATGCGCCTTGGAATCGTATCACTGATGGCAAGGCAATGTGTGTTTTGTCCCTCCAGTAAGGGTCACTTAGGGTACCTGAACAGTGGCACTTTCAGCTGCCCCAAAAGGAGCTGAGCAAGTAGAAGGATATGGGCCGTGAATGCACCAGCAGCCTCTGCTGCATCTGAAGAGCAAAGGAGCAGAGCAGGTTAGAGAGTTAAGCATAGAAGCCTGATGGGACCATGTTATAGTTTAGATTTTAAATGCTCCCAAAATTCTCACATGTTCAAAGGTAAGCTTGGGGAAGGTGATTGGATCCTGACGGTGCTGTACTCATCAGTGCATTGTTCTGCTGATGAGTTTAGAGCTGAAAGTGCTATTAGGGTGTGGGACCTTGTCAAAAGAGGCAGGTCACTGGAAGTGGGACTGGAAGGTACTCTTGTCCCTGGCCCTTCCCTTCTCTCTCTGCTTCATGCCTGGGGTGGGGGGAGCAGCTTTCCTCCACCATACCCTTCCACCATGCTGTTCCTGCCTTGGAGCCAGCTGAGCATGGACTGAATCCCCTGATATCCTGAACCAAGGTAAACCTCTCCTTCTTTAAGTTGTAGGTGTCAGGTATTTTGTCCCAATAACTTCAAAGTGACTAATACAGACCATTTGTTCAGCTGCCAGTAGAGCCTTTCCTTGGTCACTGTGAGCAGACTGCTGCCCCATCATTTACTAGGCATGACCCTTGTGGCTGAGCTTTTGCCCCATCTCCTAACAGATGCCCTGGTTCTTCCAGGCTGGGGGTCCAATCACAACTCCCACTCTTCATCCCTGTTCCCAATCCTTGACTGCAGAGTGTCAGAAGAAGCTATAGTAGTCCCTCTGACTGGTGCTTTCACTTTCTGCAGTCACGGTTACCTGGGTCAGCTGGTATATGGAGGCAAGTTCTCTTTGCCCCTCAGGGGTACCAGAGGAATGGAGCCCAGGCACCCACAAGTCTCACCTATTCATCAATGCACTCTTGCTGCTACCCACTCCACTCTCCCTGGCCAAACCAGATCACCTCCCAAATCCACTCCTTACACCAAAATAGTAAGGTTGCTGTAGGGGATAATTCAAACTAAGGCACCTGTTATGAATTGAATTGTGTCCCCTAAAAATACACCTTGAAGTCCTAACAATATGACCTTATTTAGACACAGGTCATAGCAATTAGTTAGCACAAGGTCCTACTGGAGGAAGATGGGCCCTTACTCGAGTAGGAGTGTTGTCCCTTTGAGAAGTGACATAAAGGGAGAAGACAGAAGTAGAGAGTGACACATCTACAAGCCAAGAAACCCCAAGGAAGCCAACAAATTCCAGACACCAAAGAGGCAAAGAAGGATCCTCCCTACATGTTTGGGGCAACGGTTTTGGAGTAAATTAAACATGAGTATGGGAGTATAGTGGCTCCTTCCATGAAGCTCAAAATGGCCTGTGGTCAGTCACTTTTTGTGAGGGCACAGGCTCTGAAAAGCAAAGACCGCTGAAGCTTTAGATATAGGGGATTCTGCATGCTGTCTGCATCCCCTCCCCCTCCCAGCTCCAGCTCTCTTAAACATAATACCACAATCCCTGACTGATATTAAAAACTGACAAGGAATTTTGCCACCGGCACTAGCATTTTAATATTGAAAAGTTGTGAAATCTAATAAGAGCTACAAGGAGGTTGATGGGGGTGGCATTATTTTTCCCCCTTCTGAGCTTGAATAGAACTGGGATTCAATAAGCAAATGTGACAGAATGTGTAATTTCCCCTTGATCTGCTGCAGCCAGGCATTTCCTGTTTAATAACCTTAAACCATCATGGCCCCCTCCCAGATCAACCCCTCCCAGAACATCTCTTCTCTCTATCTTATCAGAATAATCCTTCATTTGAACACAACTCAGACTGGCACTTTGGTGGCACCTTATCGCCGCTTGAACACACAAAGGGAACAAGCTGAAATATTATTTTTCCCCTTTGTGGACAGGTGTTAATAAGATCTTCCTGCCATTGCCCTCCCTGCAACGATGGGAAATCCCTGATCCCAGCTGTTCTGGTCGAATCCCAGCTTTAAAACCTGTCCGTAAAAGAAGGGGCTCCTGGTGCACACTCAGCCTCCAGACCAGGGGAGGTCAAGACAGATAATTTCCAGCTGGAAGTTGACAAGCAGTGGGAGGAGCCCCAACCTGGTCTGGGAGCCTGGCCTCTGAGTGTTCCTTCAGCCACGGTCAGATCCCACAGGGCAATGACATCACAGGCTCCTGCCTTGCACACTTAGCATCTTGAAGCAAAAGAGGTCAGTGAAGGGCTCCCAGGAGAGTTCTGGGGTTGGCTGCCCAGCACAGGGTGAGGGGAATCCCACAGCCTGCATGGGGCCTGGGCAGTGCTCTCTGATGCACTAGGTCTTGCAGGGACAGAGTGAAAATCCTGGAGCTAATTTCAGTTTTCTCTATAGTAACCCAAAGGGTACTCTGCTTGTCCTCAAGCAAGCGATTTCTCAGAAGTCCTGCTGAGCAGTGGAATAAGAAACGTGGTGCCGCATGTTAATCATCATTGTTGATGTTGCTGACACAACAGCACAAACTGGAAACCCACTATGCACAGGTACATGCCCAGGCTGCTCATGCATTATGCTTCTTACCCCTTGCAACTACCTAGGAGGCAGTTACTATATTATTTTCCCCATTTTGCATATCATCAAGTGGAAGCTTACAGTGATTTGTTCTCCCCCAACATACACGGGTGATAAATGGCAGGTGCTTAGAACCTGGTCCTTTGATTCCAAAGCCTGTGGGTCTTACAACTTAGTCACAAAGGCCCAGAAGGTCCTGCAGCCATTCCAGGGCTGGGACATAGACACAGAGAGACAAAGACTGCAAGAATTGCAGGGGAGCTGTTTTCTGAAGAGTGTGAGCAACGAGGGGAAGGAAGAGGATGGCTGCTGACAGGAAAGGCCTGAGAAAAGCTGGGAGGCTTGTGTTGTTAGGGTTGTTTAGTACAGGAGGGCCCAAGATTAGGGTGAAGGGAAAGAGCTGGAAAGGAGAGGGACAGTGGTTCCTGTGGTTAAATTCTGGGGAAGAAGGAAGGAGGCATAAAGGGGACACACATAAGGATGCAACCTTGAGCTAGATGCAGGACTGAGTCCTTCAAAGAAGGAAGCAGACAGAGAAAGGAATAAAAGGAAAGAAGATAGGAAAGGAAGAAGTGAAACTGTCATTATTTGCTGAAGATATGATATTCTACATAGAAGACCCTAAAAACTCTACCAAAAGACTTCTAGACCTAATTGACAGATTCAGTAGAGTAGCTGGATACAAGGTCAACACTCAAAAATCAATAGCCTTCTTATACACAAATAACAGACTCACTGAGAGAGAAATTAGGGAAACAATCCCTTTCACAATAGCACCCAAAAAGATGAAATATCTAGGAATCAATCTAACAAAGGAAGCAAAAACCTCTACATTGAGAACTACAGCACTCGGAAAAAAGAGATCGAAGAGGATATAAGAAAATGGAGACACATCCCCTTTGCTGGGTAGGAAGAACAAACATAGTGAAAATGGCCATACTTCCAAAACTGCTCTACAGATTCAATGCAATCCTGATTAAAATCCCAACAGCATATTTCACAGAATTAAAGAAAACAATTCAAAAGTTTATCTGGAACCAGAAGAGACCTAGAATAGGAAAAGTAATTCTAGGTAACAGGGTCATGGTAGGGGATATCACAAGCCTCAACTT